AGTGTCGACAACATTTTTGACCAAAGATTCCAACAAACTTTTGACCGAAAGATCCGCCAAACTTTTGATCAAAAATTTCAATACGTTGTTGATCAAAAATGTCAAAAACTCCACAAAAATTGATCGGAAGCAAAAATTTCCTGGTTGCATTTTGTCAGTTTAGTTTGCATCTCGTCCCACGAGTCATTCATCCTCTTTTTAATCCCAAACGAACGGCGAGTGACGTGATTAATATCGTGAGTTATGGAGTCTGTCGTTTAATTCCTTGGAGGAGGGCGTCTGCTGCACGTCAGAGACACGGCCTGCTCGGCGCAGTGTAGCGGCACGGTGTGAACCGTTTGAGTGCGGTCGGGTCGCTGCCCCGCGCTGACCCCGTATCAGATTCAGATTCTCATTGCGGATCAATTTAACGCGAACAACAACGCTCCATCTTTGATTCGGAGGGAGTCTCCCCCCTTCGGCGCGGCCGGGGCGCGGCGGGGCATGGCGGGGCGTGGCGGGGCGTGGCGGGGAGCCGGGTGCGGCGGGGCGGGACCACGTGATGCGCGTGTTACATTTCCATACGTCTGTCTCTGTCTGTGTTGTGAGGAGCTCCCCCCGAGCTCCGCGGGGAGAGCGGAGAATGAAGTCGCGCGAAAAACAGTTACTGTTACAGTACACAGTCGTTCGGTTGAAGTTACTTACACTGTCTTTCTTTATTTCCAAGAAATGACTTCCTATATTTTTAAGGGCAAGTTATTTTAACCTTTTTTTGAAAATTTTAGTTTTTTTTAGGATGTTTTGGTAAAAATGAGACCCTGTAACATTTTGCCATGGTTAGTTAGGTCAGCGTGTCAGCGTTTGTAACCAAAAATAAACCCAATTGGATCGCCGTTGGAAAAATGCACCTTTACCACCTAAAAAAATGTGGCATTATTTTGTGTAGAAAGGGGCACATTATTTGACCTGCGACTTGCGGCCACCACCACTACTACCATCACCAGCACTATGTTTTTCTTTCTCGGTCAAAGAAAATGGTTGTAACCGACTGTCGTCTCGTCTCGTTCTTTTGGCGCCCCGGTCGCGGTCATTCCCTCCTCCTCCTCGTGGCCTAACTGCCGCGCGCGCTGTTCAAACGCCCTCGCGCGTTCGTCCTCCGCTCGCCTGCCTGCTCGTCTTCTCAAATGACAGAATTGGGTTTATTTCTTGTCTCTCGCTTTTTTTCTTCTACCCCCTTCCCCCCTCGCCCTCTCTCTCCCAATCCACTCCGGACAGGACGGACGACCGCTCTCTTTACGACGGCGCGTGGGTCGACCTGGTGGCGGACACCCTCCTGATCGGCATGGCCCTCGAAAGTATTCTCTGTTTTTGTTGACATTGACCAGCAAAACTAGAGCGAAACTTGTAATTTCACGACGTAAACACCAATGGGGCATATCACTTCATTTCACGTAGTAAGGGAGCTTTTTAACGTAATAGGGAGCTTTTCAAAAGCGTAGTAATTTGTGCTTCTTCATTGTATGGTGGTTTTTCTCTCGCGTCGGACTGTTGCTTTCACGTGGCGGTTGTTGCTTCTGATCTGAAGCCCTGTCAGGTCAGATCTGACGGCGGGGCGGGGTGGGGTGGTGGGGTGAGGTGGTGCGGTGAGGGCCGAGGGGCGGGCGCGGTGTCGCATGCGTCGTCGCCGTCGTGCTGCAGGCTCCAGATAACTCCGGCCGGAGCTGAAGGAGCTCGCATATTGTTTCTGCTATCGAATGGCCTGGAGTATGAGGAGCGGGGCGGAGCGGGCGGGGCGGGTCACGGCGTCGCGGTGCCGGACGACGCCGTGCGGCGAACATGCCGAGGAGAGAGAGACCGGCCAGGCCGACCAGGCCAGGCCACTGCTTCGCGATCTACTCCGCCATATAAGGCCGCGCCGGCCGGGCCCGGCTCTCTGCCGCTCGGGCACCGCCGCGCCGCACTCCCTCCAGTCTCCCCCCC